TTACGTTAAGGATGAGGGAAACACCCAGTAACATGGTGAAAGCTGGATAAATGGTACAATGGTCAAAATTATATAAAATACACACAGCTGTATGACAAGAACAAGTTAAAAACAGATTAAAAATTTTTTTAGAAATTGCCCACCATTTTGTGCAATCATCAAGTGGCTTCACGATGTAATGTTTAACTTTCTATTTATAAAAAATTTTTTATCTGTTTTTTACTTGTTCTTTTCATTTTATTTAATTTTATATAATTTTGACCATTGTACCATTTATCCAGCTTTCACCATGTTACTGGGTGTTTCCCTCATCCTTAACGTAAACAACAATTAGCAACATCCTCACATACTACTCTCCTGATGATGATGGCAAAGACCATTGAAAGCTAGAGAGAATAAAAAAAGTGTAAAGAGTCCTCCTTGCTTAAATTTTGTCGAAGTACCCAACAAAAGGCGGAAGCTTTAATTTTTCACCTACATAAATGTATATAAATTTTTCATGTAATTTTTCTTATTGCTAAACCAAATTATTAATTTTCAAATCATTAAATATCGTAATAGGAAACAACGTGCGTTGATTATGATCTTACGTATTTTTAGCGGAAGGTAAGTAAATTTAAATTTAAATTGATAACTTTCTGACCTCATGCTCAGCACTGTTTAACATTCCGGTAGTGATTTCGGCACCCGGCTTGTTATTGGTTGAATAAATTGAAATTGACCAATAAAATTAAGGCTGGTGCCGAATCCTATACCATAGTGTTAAAATGCTACCGGGACAGATGTGATTATGTTAAAGCTAAGTATATAGCTATACCTTCTGGATCTTGGTGGGGGTATGTTCATTTGTTCATACGAGTTTTTTCAGACCTGCTGATTACAACTCATATTGTGCTGTACTCTTGCAGCGGTTGATTCTGGTAATAGATGGTGCTTTGTGCTATTTTATTTAGATGGAACCCATACTTGGATGATACTTGCTATACTTTCTTTCGTTGTTCCAGATATCAAACATGCATGATGATGAGTTACCAAAAAGCGCAAAAACATCCGCCTATGGTTGGCTGTTCGTGGTCGGACTGACACAAGCAGCTTGTTTGGTTGTTCATGCCGAGTAGACCTCGTCTACTATACTGCCATAATACCCAGCCTCTAGCGGCCACAGCCATGGCTGGGCTATTAAATACGAACTGAGATCTTTGTAGTTCCAATCGATAGCTGCTATACACTAGCAGTAGTGGATTCTGGTAATAGATGGCGCTTTCCACTGTCTTATTTCAAGTACCTACGTACTTAGTCACCTTTCTGACGACCAACACGATCGGGTTGAAAGTGACCTGCCGTCGGCCTAACTAGAATCTTTCACTAATTCACAATTCATTATTATTATTATTATTATGATAATTGAGATGAGCAGAGTACATAGTACTATAAGCTCATGCAGTAAATATAGTGTACGGACACGTAACACAAATACATCAAATAGAAAAAAATAAAAAAAATACAGTTCACAGCTATAAAGTTTGTACACTCCTCCAGCTATCATACTGCACTTTGAAGCTATTAACTGAAGTAGCACCAACCACACTTTCAGGTAAGCTATTCCAGGTGTTGAGTATGCGGTTGGGAAGAAACCACTGTCGGACTGTTGTTTTAAATGGCTCCTTATGCAGTTTGAAGCTGTGTCCGCGTAGATTGCTGCGCGACAGATGGTATAGATGCATGAGGTTGGTGCCCATTAAACCATGAAGTATCCTGAACGTAACTATAAGATCGCCACGAAGTCTTCGCTCAGAGAATGAGGTCAGGTTGAATAATTCAAGGCGATCTTCATAGCTTGGTCTTCGTGCTCCAAAAGGGATACGAGTAGCCCGACGCTGTACTGATTCGACGAGATTTCTATCGCGCAGAAGCACAGTGTCCCATACCGGGCCAGCGAATTCAAGAATTGGCCTCACGAATGCCTTGTAAATGTAAGCGCAAGTTTTGACATCGGATCCTTTGAAAGACCTCTCCAGCATATATAGAAGTTTCTTGGCTTATGATGTAACGTGGTGAATATGCTCTGACCAGGAAAGACGATCGTTGACTACAACGCCCAGATCAGTGTGGCTCGAAACTGCTTCGATGTTGTGGTCAGAGATCTTGTATGTAAATCGCGGATTTGTTTTCCCGAGGTGAAGGACACAACACTTGGTTAGATTTAAGGGTAAAAGCCAACTGACTGACCATTGACAAACAGTATCAAGATCTCGTTGAAGCATAGCAGAATTTACGACAGTATTGTAAATCTTGGTGTCGTCGGCATAAGCTGAACATGTGGAGGAAATCAATGCGGGCAGGTCACTGGTATACAGAAGGAACAGCACTGGCCCCAAGACAGAGCCTTGAGGAACTCCACTTGCTACATGATGAGGATGAGACTGGCTATCACTGACGCGCACAGAGAAAGTCCTCCCGGTGAGAAAAGCCTTAATCCACAGTAACAACTCGCCTCTTATTCCCATACATTCCAACTTAAATAGAAGCCTTCTATGTGGTACGCGATCGAAAGCCCTAGAAAAATCTAAGTAGATTATATCAACAGGAGTCTTGGTGTCCAGATACTGAGTCCAATCGTTGAGAGAGTGGAGAAGGTTGGTCATTATTGATCGACCAGGGAGAAATCCATGCTGATTCTTAGGGATAAGGTCATTTTCGAAAGCCAATGACTGGAGCTTATCTAATATGATTCTTTCAGCTATTTTGGCGGCGATAGGAACGAGACTTATTGGTCGATAATTTTTAGCGGAGGATTTGTCGCCCTTTTTGAATACAGGAGTAACAGAAGCACTAAGCCAGCATGAGGGTAGGGTATGAGATCTAAAAGACGATGTGAATATCAAGCTTAATGGTAGGGCCAGTGCTGAAGCGCAGTTTTTAAGTACAGCAGCCGTCATCCCATCTTTACCAGGGGAGGAAGAGGTCTTCAGATTTCGCAGGTGCATTAATACATCTTCAGGCAGGAACTCAACTTCGCAAAGGCTGTTGGGACAGCTATGGCAGATAGTGGTCGGTAGAAGGTCTCCATTAGGCTCATCGACGAAGTCATCACTAAAGGACTCTGCCAGTAAGTTGGCAGATTCGGTGGCATCCATGTGGAGATGACCGTCAGCGTCGCGGATCTGAGGTGATGAAACTTTGGAATTCAGGTTTGTTCTTAGATACCGAAACAGCTTCTTCTTATTTTTGGAGGTAACGAGTTTTCGTTCATAAGCATGTTTGGCATTATGTAACGTTCTAGGTAGGAGTTTAGAAAAGGATCGATGAGACACGTAATCTTGTGAATGGCCACTCCTCCTAAACCGTTGCCACAAAGATCTCTTGTGACGAAGCATCCTCGATATGTTAGAGTTGATCCAGGGCTTTGAGGGGTCACAGTATACCTTCTTTTCAACAGTATTGTCAGCCGTTTCGCTTAGGACTCGTTGAGCGAAAGTGTCCACATATCTTGGGTGCTACGGTTGTTAAGCAAAGCAGGCCAGTTGACTTCAGACAGGGCTTGGTTAAGAGCATCGTGGTTTACAATTTTGATGGTTTTAAACTTATCGGTTGTAGAACGACTATTTATATTGAACTGGAGAGAAGATAAAAGTGAACAATGGTCAGACTTGCCAAAAGGTGGCAAATAATCTAAATTAGAAACAAAGTCTGCGTCGTTAACGAATATCAAATCCAGAGCCCTAGGCGTCTGTCCTTCCCTGAATCTCGTTGGACGATCAACAAGTTGAGATATGCTAGAGTTGCGTAGCAAGTCGATGTAAGCAGCAGAAGAAGAATTGCATTCAGGAATGGTTGACATAGGCCAGCTAATGTCACGTAGATTGAAGTCACCAGCTATGAAAAGGTTGGTGTTTTTATTTAAGAGATCTGAAATGAGACTGCACAGGTGTGTGTCTCCCAAACAGGGCCGTGGCCGATATATGCAGCCTATCGTGAAGCTGAAATTTGGGCACCTCAATTCCAAAAATAGATTGTCAATGCCATCGAAAGGACTGAAAGAGGGAGATACCGAGAAAGCCGACGCGATTTCCGTGCGAACATAAATGCATACTCCACCAAAGCCAGGAGTGCGTGGTGAATCCATTCTGTATAAATAGTATCCAGGCAAATTGATGGAAGAGTCGGACACGTTGGAATGGAGCCATGTTTCAGTAAGACAAACGAACGTTGGATTATTGTCTCGAACAAATGCTTGGAGTTCAAGTAGCTTAGAAAAGAGAGATTGTATATTAGTGTAACAAACCGTCCAGTTTGCCACAGAATTTATCAGTTTTTTGAAGGTGTGATCTCCTGGGTAGCTGTGTGTACTATAGAAGGTTTACCACGAACGTATTTTATAGTAATATTACTTTCGCCTGTTGTTTGACGACGTCTAAGCTCTTCGCGAAGGTGTTGTAGTTCTTGCATTTGACCTCTGGTTTTGTCGTCAGAGATTTTTACGTGACGAAGCGTAGGGTGGCTAAGGATGGAGTTTTTCTTCCGCAAAATATTGCTGACGATAATAGGTGAGGAAAACACAACTCTAATTAAACGATTGCTTGAAGTTGTTCTGCCAAGGCGAGTGATGCTGAGTCGGTGATTTTCGGCAGATGGTTCAATATGCCTAATTATCTCTGATACTATGTTTATGTCATCGTTACCTTCAGCTATGCCCCTCAGAATGATATTGTGGGAACGTCTAAATAACTCCATTGTCTCAGCTTGGGAGCTTGGGGCAATAGGGGTAGAAGAAGCGCCGTTGCCTGAGTGCATCATCTCCATAGATCTTGCAAGTCTCGATTCAATATTAGCAATGTTAGAAGACAGCTCTGTTTGAGTAACCTGGATATTTTGTATGTTGGTTTCGCAGGCCGCTATTAAGTCATCATGCCGAGAGATCGAGTCCGAATGTTGCTGTAGCAAGTTTCTACAATAAGCAACATCAGTTCTGAGTTGAGATTGAGAGTTCTTAATATCCTTTATGTCACTGCCATAGTTGATAATTGGTTAAGTATAAGGGTGAGAGTGTCGGTAGGGGTAGACTGATCTGGTTGTAAAGGAGCAGTGGTTTCTGAACGAGCACCGCATGTGGATCCGCTTCGGGTAACTCGTCCCTGTTTACAACAGGCTGGGCAAGACCATCGTTCTTTTCCGTCCGACAGTTCTTCGTTGTTATCACTGTATTTTTCTACAATATCCCCATCTTCAGGATCTTTCATGTTTTTATTCTTCTTTCGCACAGTCCTACTCATGTTCCCTTATTCCAGCGGCTATTTCCCGATTACCCTATACACTCTGTAGACTAGTTTCTTAATTTGATTTGACGAAATGTCCAAATGACAAAATGGAATATATGGTAAAATGGCTGAAGATTACTCCCACGGCTCTGGAAACTATCGCCAACAGGTCCACGGACGTACCTCTTCCTGCTCTTAACTTGAACACCTCTGGTTTTAAATATTTTTGGCTTTTCTCCGATATTTTGAGGTATTTACAGTGAATACTAATTTAGTAGCCTACTTTTTAACTTCGGTTAAAAATATATTGTAATTACCTTTAGTCGATTTACATAAGTTTTAAGTTTATCAGCTCCATTTCGTGTTAAATATGTTACAAGTGTAATATTATTTTTATTAAATATTAATAATTATATGAGAAGAGTTGATGTCGTGTTGCTTTTCTTGAGAGCGGTACCTCACGGGCAAAATAAATTGGTTATAATCGCTCTGTCATGCTGACCGTTGATGATGATCGCTTTATCAACATTATTTTCGGTCAAGATAGGACTAATACCGGCAGTGTAAAACCCACACTAACTTTTTGAGAATGCTGGGATGGAAAGTCCTTTGTTCAATATCCTCGGGCCCTTTTCCCTGATGGCGTCGCGTTCTAGTCATGCGAGTCGAGCCTGGTAGGCTTCTGTCTCTCAAAGTATAAAGAATATGATATAACAGCCTCTCGGAAGAGACCAATCACAAATAGACGTGTTGTCCACGCTGTTCAAGCTTCTAAGTCAGAGTATGTACCTGAAAGGATGGGAATGTCTTATTTCGTTTGACCCTGTTGTATGTAAGAATTATGCTCCGGAGCTTGTATCATATATAACGATCGTCTGACGTGTTATGTCTCGGGTACCATCGATCTTCATTTTAAAGTTTTCTCACGAGCTGCAGGTGTTTTACCAGTAGAGGTGCAGTTGAGTTTAGCAAACTAAGAATTCACTCGAGTTTTAATATTATTAATTTTAATATTCGACATTCCATTAGACGTCAGGAAACTGCAAAGATTTCATAATATGATGGGACGTTCTACGGTGCTTTTGAAAAGGTGTTCCCCGTATCTTATTTTTGGTACAAATCAAGGTAACAAGCTAGGATTTAAGGTAATGAAGTTGGTGTTAAAGTACTATATTTCAGCGTAGATTTTTTGTTGGCTGTGAAAGTTACGCATTCTGTTCATTGAACGGCTTCATCAACTCAATTATCGAATCGCTATAGTATAGCAATTTGCTTGTTATTTTGAAGGAGCATATTCCATGAAGTGCGGACCTTTCCACTGACAAAAATGTCAAAAATTTTAATTTATAATCACTTTATAACCACAATTTTGAATGATAGGGATTTCATATTCCGGGATTAAGTACGCATTAGGAGCTTCAAAATGCTGTATCCCCCGTCCGCTCGTCCATATAACAACATTCAAAAATGGCGCCGAGTGGCCATCTTGAAATATTCAAGTGCCACTTGTATGCTACAAAACATCAATTCTATTACCCCGAATTCTAGCTTTCCAACTTAATCAAAAAAAAAGTATTGCACAGTATAGAATTTAACACCTTTTTGCGGCTCAAACTTTTTTCGCTATTTACTAACATATCTACTGCACCATGAATAATGATTTTCGAGATGATTTTATAACTATACTCTAGGCGCTGAAGAAAGAAACTAAACCCAAACAAATACACGCATATTGCTCGTGAGTGAGTGTTTAGGCGCAGGAGACATTACAGGACCGCATCAAGATATTATGGGTAGTCATCAAAAATTTCATACAGGATAATTATTATCTTTTACAGTAAATTTCAGTTAGAGATTCACAAATGAGTTAACTACACTTTTTAGTTATTAGTAAGTAAGCTACGCGCACTCATTCAGAAGAGGTACTTGAATCTTCTGAATCGTTTAAATGAATTATTAGAGGTTCAATTTGGGTATCGATGACATTGTCCAAATCCCAAATTTTGACCTCAACCTTCTCCCGAACGTGGCGGATACAGTTTTTCCATTCCTCTGCCGTAACTCTATTGACTGCGATGTGAAAGAGATTTTTAACATCAGAAAATTTATAAGTATTATTATTCGACGCCACGTATTGCTTTATGTTGGCCCAATAGGGTTCAGCTCACAATGGTAGGGTGGCAGTCTCAATACAGTTTTATTTTGTTTTTTGGCCATTTCGTCGATCATTTTAAAATCGTATTTGTATTTATGTCTATTGACTATACTTATCAATTCACCCTTGACCATTGTTTCATCAAAATCGATCTGTTTTGAGGCCAGCCATTGTTGTATGTTTGCTTTTTTAGTTGCCATTGTGGGAATTTTTTCTATTTTTCTAGAATGGTACGGGGCATTATCCAGTACAATAACAGCGTTATTCTCCAGCTTTAGTAACATTTTGGAGAACCAATTTTCAAAGGAATTGCCGTCCATCTCCTCATGATAGTCCCCTGTCTTTTTTGATTCAAAGGCCCACAGTGCTTCGGGAACAAAGCCGTCTTCACTACCTACGTGACAAATGATCAGCCGTTTGCCTTTTCCTGGAAATAAATTATTCCTTACACTATGGATTGATTAAATTTGAAGGAATGAGGCAATTGAGTTCATTTAGCTGAATTTAAGAGTCACGGAATGCTGATCAAAAACTGAAAAACGTAGAAAATTGAAGTTTGCAACTTCTCAAAACCCATTCAAAGCAAATTGACTGCACCCAAAATGATAATAAATTTCAAAATAACGCTTAACACATTCACTGCCAAGTCCATTTCATAAAACTTCCAGTACGACCCATAACGATTCGCGGAACTGGTGTCCGCCTGGCGCCGTCGTAAAAAATAATTTTTGGTCGATCACCCAGGGCGGACAATTTTTTTCCATTGGCACGCCATGGCGGACACAATAGCGGACACAATTAGTCAGCGGAACGAGGCATCTCGTGCGAAATACCTTCTATTCAGTATGGCTAACCTGTTGGTAGACTTACTTGTCATTTTTTCCGCGATTTATTCTAATTGTTCGTACGAAAGTCATAATGAGCAGTAGAACAAGACATATCAGCCTTGGGAAAAGAAAGAATGAGACTCGTAGTGATTGACAGGAGTTTTTTTATTATGTAATATTTCCATAAATAGAGTGTAGATAACGCTCTGTGGTATTACGCAGCAATATTTTGCAAAAAAAATTTGAATAGCTAATCTAATTTCCTTTTTGTACGGGTTGTCGTTTATATAAATGAGATTTACTGTATTGACCAGGGGTTACTCGTAATACCTGATTCATTGGTTATATTTAGAATACCATATATTCAAGGTTACTGTTTTTCTACTAGTAGCTTTGTATTGTTATTTATTTTGAAGCAATTCCATACTTGTGACAAGGAAAGGCTCTGAATACGTGCGATGAAAAGAAACTTCGATGGAGTATTACGTCTACTTGTTACACTCAAGTTCAAAGCTTCAATTCCTTAACTATTTATTCATCGAAAATAATGAAATTTCCAATTAAATAGAATAACTGTGCTGATGTGCTGGGTAAAAACTATATACTTTCAGGTTCTTTCTAGATACGTACCATGACTCTGATAGTACGTACCATCAGTCTAATGATTCAAATAGTCGACTGCATAAAGTGCAATCTTTAGTGGACAAATTCGTATGCAAAAGTCAAATGTTCTATACACCAGCTAGAGTTTTCTGCATAGATGAAAGTTTAATACCCTTCCGAGGCAGATTAATTTTTAAACAATACATTCCTAATAAGCCCCATAAATACGGCGTGAAAATTTTCAAATTATGCGCAAGACCAGGTTACACATGGAACATGAAAATCTATTCTGGAAAAGAAGCTGACCAAAATAACTCAATCCCTACCAAGATACTGGACGCATGGATGTAACCGATAATTATTACACAAGTATAGATCTTGCAAACCAACTACTTCAAAGAAGAACTCATTTCATGGGGACTTTAAGAGCAAACAGAAGGGGCAACCCAAAAGAAGTTGTTGGCGCAAAGCTAAAAAAAGGAGAAATCAAAGCAAAGCAAGTAGAAAATGGAATTTCTATCCTAAAATGGAAAGATAAGAGGGATGTGCTTATGCTTTCCACTTATCATTTCAATGAAACTGTGATAATACAAATAAGAGGCAAAAAAATAGTAAAGCCCTCGATGGTAGTTGACTATAACAAAGGCAAATCTTCAGTTGATCTTTCAGATCAATTTGCAAGCTATGGATCTTGCGTACGAAAAACCGTTAAATGGTACCACAAAATTGCCATTGAAATTATACTGGGCACTGCGATTGTCAATTCTCATTTGCTGTATGAGAAAGTCACAGGAAATAAAATAAGTTTGTTAAATTTTCGTGAAGCGATAATTGATAAGCTCCTAGATAGACCATTGACTGATCCCGATGTTCAAAAAAAAAACACATGCATTTGAGAAACAGCCAGGAAACTCAAGAGTCGGAAGAAGGTACTGTAGGGGTTGCTATAAGAAGAAATTAAAAAATGAAATACCGAAAAACAAAGTAAAAAAAGTTACCACTTTTTGTAAAACTTGTCCAGATCAACCTCGATACTGTTTGTAATGTTTTAATAAGGGCCATAATAAATAGGAACTTTCTGCCATTTTTTTTGTAGGCATAAAAATATGTTGAAATGTTTGTTATGTAATGTATTCATATAACACTCTACAAGGAAGAATTTTTTGAACATCTTTTGTACGAAAAAAAATGTTAAAAATGTTTGTTTCAACAAAATAGTAATGTTTTAGTAACCCTGAGTGTAGTATATATTTTTATGGAAAGAAATGTGTCCGCTCTGGCGCCTTGAGTACAGATGCTTCTAAAACTTTTTTGCACGCCACAGCGGACACCGTGGCGGACACTTTCCAAAAAATTTTAACAAAACACTTCTTTAGAAAACCACGGTCAGAAGACCGTTCTAGAGGCCAAAAATAATAATTTAATATCAAGACATTTATGAGATTTAGGATTTCCGGGGACATATTGATTTTTAAACCTGCCGGACACCGGTGTCCTCCCTGGCGTAATAAGCCGACAACGCAGCGGACACTGGTGTCCGCCCTGGCGGTGAATGTGTTAAAAGAGGGTCGAAGTTTTTTTCCTAATGAC